TTCTGTGTGGTTTACTTCAGGATAGCATGTACCTAAAGACCCTGAAGTCATGTGAAAGAGGAGACTTGACCTCAAGACACTATAAAGTTGGCTTGTTTGGTTTTAGCTCGAAAGGTCACTTTTTCTGGAACAGTTCCTGATGGTGTTTTAAACTGATAGTTAGTTACCTTTGATTTGAACTCACATATTTACTAGCATGTGTTCAAACACAGAATTGTTGCAGTTTAACTACCACAACTGGCATACGTGGAACTTTACAGACATAAAACAGATGAGGTCCCTATCTGAAGAGCTTAGCCTAACTAAAAGACAGTGAAAAATGACAACAATGGTGAGAAGTCTGCCAGTTTGTGCGGGGGGAGGGTGAATATGTAGTGTTGAGAAGTATTCTGTCAATTGACACTAATGATGATACTTTTGTTCCTTGTCCCATTTTCATCTCAGTATGGTAATAGTTTTGTTTTTCTTTGCTTGCTTGTTTGTCAGTGCGACATTCCATTGCAGAAGCTTGTCTTTTGAGTTATTTTTCTCTAACTTCTGTTGCTATAGATAATATAAATTCTACATGGCTATAGCAAACAGTTCAACACTAAAAATAAAAAATATTACACATACTCCCCTTGACAGTTTTTCCACTACATTCCACTATTGATTTTATGCTGAAAAACATAAGCCACAATTAATAGAAAATATAAATGAAAGTAGAAATGTTAGGTGTCTGGCACTATTATATTGTCTGACTTAGGAATCTCAGGTCCATCTTTAGTATTTTTTAAATAAATGTTAAGCCCTTGACAAACAGAGCAGGGACAGGCTGCTTGCTTTATTTTATTTTTATTTTTTTGTCTTCCTGTTTATCTATATTAAAGAAGCAAAAAGGAAAAACCTAAATGATATCTGTTGTTTACCAAAAAGGATGAAATATCTTCTTTTTAGGTGTTGAAAGTGAAGCATTGTCAGAAATAGGAATATCAAAAAGGTGATGGAACAACTCGAGAAATTAAATTGCAATCAATCAGGAGGACCAGATGGTATTCATCCGAGAGTTCTAAAGAAACTGAAGACCATTGTAACTAAGCTGCTAACAAAAATATGTAATTTATCATTAAAAACAGCTACTGTACCAGAGGACTGGAGAGTGGCCAAGGTTGTACCCATCTCTTAAAAAGGTGCTAATGATGATCTTGGGAATTACAGACTAGTAAATCTTATTTTAGTACTGAGAAAATATTGAGAGGATCACTAAAAATAGAATTATAAACTACACAGAAAACAGGGAAATCCTGCAAAGTTCCTGTTAAAATGAATAATTCTTCTCTGTTAGAATTATTTGAAAGAATTAATGAAATCATGGATAAAGAAGAATTGGAGGATATGATTGATTTAGTCTTTCCAGAACCTGTGATTAAGTCCCTCATAGGAGGCCACTGGGGAAAAAAATACGGTAACTTCAGAATGACAGTTAGAGTCCTGTTATGAAATAAAAATTGGGTAAAATACAGGAAATAAAAATTAAATAGTAACAATACTTAGAACTTTTCATTTTTAAAGCTATGTAAATATTAACCAATTTCCATAACTTCCTTAGAAGGTAGGAAAGTCTTAGAAGTTCAGTAACTAACTGAAAAGGAGCTGCCAAAGAGTCCATGTCAGGACCAGAGTTTGATTTGATCATTTTATGGGTTCCAGTGCCAGACTCAGACCGTAGATGACATCCTGTCTAGCTGTAATTCATTGGAATAAATGGCCAATTCATAACAGAAAAAGTGGTTAACTACAAAGTACCCCAGTGATCAAAATCAGCATTAAAAATAACTTTATCCAACAAAATGAATTTGTTATTTATAACAACCTTGAAAAGTTTTTAAAGGAAGGTGGCAAAGTTTGTTCCCAACACAATGGTCCAAGTCTGTTCTTTCATACAGGCACAATAATTTTATTGTTTTATATGGGAAAAGTTCATGGGAATATTTGGCCTTTGGTTATATTAAGATTAGGCAAAATTGTGAGAGACTCCAGAACAACCAATGGCAGATGAAAGCAGACAAGCACCAAAGTAGCACATACTGCACATGTTTTGTAGAAACTTTGCAAACTGGTATATTACTAAATAACTCAAGGGACAGATAGGCATCATTTTGGACAACTCACTGAAAAATTATTTTCAACATGCTGTAGAGGTTTAATTTTTTTTAAAGCAAATGAAATGTTAGGATACATTGGATACATGGCATAAGAAAAGAAAATACTATTAAAAATATTACTATGTCATTTTATGAATAGTGCATTTTCATCTTTCACTTTCTTTACTTTCAGTCATTTCATCTTAGAAAAGACATGGTAAAAACAGGAAGAAACAGAAATGCAATAAATGTGATTAAAGAAACGGGTGAGATTTGGCGAGTGGATAGTTGTAAAAGACAAAAACAGTTAATTTAGAAAAACAAAGAGAAGGAGATATATTAGAGATGTATACAATGTTATAGAAGAAGCTACCTGGGTGTTCCTACCTTCCCCATTCCATTATGTAAAAACAACCAGGAAACACATGTAAATGGATCTAAGGAAACGTCTTTTCATTGCAAAAGTGTAGTTAACCTGTGGAATTTACTGCTGCAGGATAACAGAGGGAGCCAGCTCTGGAGCATTTGTTGCTTTTCATTGCATGGTAGAGGGCAAGGGGAGGGAGGAAATAAAGAATAGGAAATAGAAACAGAAATAAAAGGCAATAAAATGAGGAAGACTAGCTCTTTGTTATGTTCTCTAGTTCCAGAATCTACCGATGTTCCTCTACCCAAACCTCATGGCTTGGCATCTGCAGGTTTAGAGAACATGTGTATCAGGTTGAAAGAGGAAGAGTGAGGAAAGACTATCCTATGCAACATGATTTCCTCTAAGCAATTTTGGTTTTCAGGCAGACATCTAAGTGTAGGCTGCTGTAGGTAATATTAATTTTCAATCCTCCTTCTAAACTCTACTCTCAAAAACAGAGTTAAGGTACAGAAAGAGGCAAGAGCAGCCAATGTCCAAGATTGGATCCTTATTCTCCTGCTTACCCTAGGGCTGCAAGGGGTTGGATGTCTTTCTTGCCTTCCTCCCCTCCCCAACCCTTCAGCAGTCTCCATAAGAATGCAAAATGTTTTCCCCTCGGGGAAGAATGCAGTGGAAACTCCATGAGGTTCTCCTCACGGGATTTTTCAGCAGTATTTCCTTCCCCATGCCCACCCCCTTACCCCCCTGCCCCCTCTCTGGGTGAGATAGGAGTGTTTAGTTCTTACTTAGCCTTACAAAAGTATTAGACATTTGTTTAAGTATCGCATCTGCAGCTAGACTCGCTGGAATAAAAATTATAAGGGCTATCAATCCTCATACTTCAGGGCATAAGCTGATCACCAGCTGGGGTCGAAAAGAAATTTCCCTCTGTGGTATAGTACTGCAATTAGGTGCGTTCTGGGGGGTTTATGCCTTCCTCTGAAGCCTCAGGCATTGGCCACTATCAGAGACAGAAAGACACCAGACTAGATGGACCACTGGTCCGTTCCATTATGGCAATTCCTTTGTTCCTAGATCTGGATGTTTCTGTTGTGGAGCTGCACTAGTTTGTCATAATATCATAACCAAGAATTAATTACAATTCTAAAAAATGAAAGAATATTCATTTATTATGCTAGCAATAATACCGTGTAATATAATACAGATAAAAATAATGTCTGCTGCAGAGTAAAAGGAAGTTGAAAGCTTCCAGCACAAGGCGGTTTCTGTTTTCACTTACCCTCAAAAACTCCTCACACCTGAGAGTCAACACCCTTGAGGATAATAAAGTAATTATAATTTTATTTTACTGTATTCTGACACTAAATCGGATCTACTAATGCCTACATAGTTCAAACAAAGCAAAATGCTCAGACAGTTTCACTGCGCAAGGCTGATATTTTTTCATGATCTCAAATTTAAAGTTAATCTGAAAAGGGCATGATGGTCATTGTGAACATACATTAAACACAATTTCCTTTTGTATGAATCCAGTACAAGCAGCCTTTTTGATAGGACTAAAAAAAAAAAAAAAATAGCTGCTTTATGCTGTCATTTTTTTCTAAAGCAACTCTCCAAGATGATTGCAAGAGTACATTAAAGGCTTGCATTTTTGAAGTTAGTCAGTTGTCAAAGTGATTTTGAGGGTTGACAATCACATTTAAGACAAATATAGAGATTTGAAAGACATGCTTGCAAGCAATCCCATATTCTGTGCAAAGATTTAGTTTAGAAACGCATCCAGTTCAAGGGTTAAATGAAAGCTAAAGCAATCACTTCAACCATGTTTCTGAAGAAAATAAAACAGCTTGATATAAGCTAAATGAAGGGGGTCTGTGACTTAAAAGGAATGGACAGATAGAGAAAAAGGTCAGAAGATTAAATTTTCCCTAAGGGAAAAGTCATTCTTTGGAATCATTAACCTCCTTCTAGGTCACTACTGAAAAAAAACAGCAGGAAATCCTACTGCTCCTAGAAAGATGGGTGCATCACATACCGCCCACTGACCTGGCAACTATACGGCAGACATAATTGTGTTCACAAATTCTCCTTCAGGCATGCTTGTTTTTAGTATCCCTGTTTTAAAGCAATATGATCTTTTAGTTCAGTTGTGAACTATATCCATAATGGTTTTATTCTGGGTGGCTTTTTTTAAGTGTATAATTAAATTCCATTTGTTTTAAAAGATAGAATTCTACAAAATCTAGAAATGTAGCTTCTAGGGATACGTCTAATCCATAACCCACTTTTTGTTAAGTTTAAAACTAATAATGATTTTAATGAGATTTTGCAATTAAATTATATTAGGCTTGAAACAACAATATTTTTCAATATAATATGGTTTTTGATTGCTAAAAAAACTCACATAAAAATATACATGTATTTTTATCTTTGGTGACCTAATCCTGCCATCAATAAAATCAGTCAGGGGGTCAGTATGACCTTGAATAGGTGAGAGATTGGGCCCAAAGTATAAAATACAATCTTTAATAAAATAAGGACTAGATTAATAAGAACTATGGAAGGCATATTCAGTAGCCTGATTCAACCAACCTTTATTTGTATCATTAGACCTCATTCACCAATGTGTTCTCATTAACTTCAAGGAGAGTAAGGGTTTGCATGATCAAGCTTGGGTAATAATCCTTAAGTAATTCATATCACACCATATCACAAATAAGAACCTGCACTTTTAGAAAATGTTTCATATTTTTTCCTTGCTCCCAATAGAACCAGTGCCACCAACCACCATCCAAATAAATGTAGATTTGAATGCACGCTGTCTTTAAATGAAGCCCCTCATCTTGTGATAAGAGTCATGCAGGTAGTCATCTTTGCCCCTGTGAAGCATATTGATTTCACTGGACTTCTAGGCAAGCAAAGAAACTCACCTGCCTGTTGCAAGATCAAAGGCTTACTTTTCAGAATTCTAAATTCAGAGAAGTAACCTCACATCTGTCACAGAAATATTTTTGCCTCTTTATTCATCAAAATAAAAAAAGCAAACTGAGACATGAAAATAAACTTTGAAAACTCAAAAGTACTTTGCAAAGCATAATACATGAGAAAATTGGGACATCTGTTAAAAGCCTCAAATTGCACAACTGCTGACTGTAGGTGGGGCAACAAGTTTTCTAAATCTGATGTGTACTGCCATTAATTTTATTCATGTATGAAAATGAAAGACAAAAAGAAAATGAAATTATCACACCTAATTTGCTAAGCCTGAAGTGAAAGGTGCTTTGGTTAACTTTAATGTCTAGTTCTATGCATTCTTTTTTTAAAAAGTACTTTTCAAATGCAGGCAAGATCTTACAAGATTTTAGAAGACAACTTAACAATCACATGAACCCCAGAGAATAAAGGCAAACTATAGTAGCTAAGAGAAAGAAAAATAAAATGCAGCTTGTGAAAAATGAACACCTTTTTCCGAAGCCTGGGCAAGGGCTAAATTCTACTGAACTCACACCCTCCAAAATAATTATGTTGTTACCCAGGTTCATGCAGTGACTGAGTAGCCAATAAAGAAGACTTTCCAACTGAATGTAAGCAAATGTAAATTGGATGCACAGGTAACAATTTCCTGATATTTGTATGGCAAGAAAAAGAATTGTATGGCTTACTTATCTTCTAGCCTAAATGTATTTCTGAAGCAAGAAATCAAAAACACATCACAAAGCTTACAACTAGACTAAACATACTAACTCTGCTGATATTAGAAACTGTCAAGAGACTGTCAGGCTCAAGGAGCTGGAGCTTCTGACAATAATTTTCCTCCTTCCAAAACATACCTTTCTATGATGCTAAGAATTAGTAAGAAATATTCCAATGTGGTTGCAGCTGCTTAAAGACTACCCTGAATTCTATGCAAACATCCTCCTAAAGTGGGGTGTCCAAGAAGTGCTGAAGCAAGGATCTCACCTGAGAACTAAATTGTGATATTTACTGTGGTATTGTGCAAAATTTATCTGAAAGGGGGTCCCTACTAAGTCACTAACATTTCCTTTTGCCAGTCACCCATCTTTTCTCTCTTTCTTTTCCCCACTGAAATATCATACAAAATAAACCAAACAAAAAGCTGCATAGTTAAAGAAATCTTTAGTGCACAGTTTTCTGTGTCCAAAGGTCTTCCAAAATGCTAAAGCTTCACAAGTTTATGTCTGCCTGCCTAGCTCTTTTATTGAGAGATTTTTTTTTGTCAACGCCATTCTTTAGTATACCTCTCCACTTTCATTCAGGAAAATATTGGCAAAACCTTTTCTTTTGATTAATTTCTACACCTGGTCTTTTCTTTTAGTTCCTTTGAATTACTGTCATCAGTTTCAACTCTGAAGATCTTATTTTGCAAGACAATAAGGCCCTCTTAAACACTTTGTAAAGGCAGCCTGCAGATGCCATATTTACCTTTCCCACCCCCCTTCCTCTGCCCCTCAGAAAAGCTTTCCAAATTCAAATTCTTAATTTCACTGAAATTAAGAAACATGTCTCTATTTTTCTTGAACTTTCAGATGTTACCAGGTACATCTAAAATAGGTGATCACTTCCACTCAAAGTATCAACTGTCAAATCCAACAATTCAACAGGTACACGCAATGCATACACAGACACAGGAAAACAAGACCACTAACCCACTCAAATTCGTTTTTGTACTGATTTGTCCCTCTCCATGTGAAACAATGTGAAAGGTGAATCATTATGAGGAAGCTGATGTGAGAATTCC